CGGAGGACTCAGCTGCGCCCGGCCGGGAGCCAGCAGCGCCCCCTGCGGCTGTGAGCGGAACTGCACCCAAGGGGAGGCGCTGCGGTTGGGTTTCTGCTCTTTTTGTTGATTGTTTGCCTTGTTATCCAACCATTACTCCTTTTTTTCCCCTTATCTTCGCCTGAAAGCATGTTAATTTCAAAGTTGTTGTGGATGCTAACTCTGAAACAGAGAGCACGGTGTCAGTGGAAATTGCAGGCCGCGTAGCATTCTCAGTCTTGCCTGGGAAAGTGGCCTGGGAAATCATGGGGAGGAATTAAAACAATCCTCAGAGACAGAAAACAGCCTTGCAGGTGCTGTTTGTCTGTTCCTTGTTTTCTTGCAAGAGAAAGTCGAAGGGTGGTGAACCCCACTGACCAATGATGGTGATGTGTTAGTTTACTAATCAATAAGAGTTTATTTTCTGTACTTTTCATGTATCAGTCTATAAAAAAGACCTGAGGTAATAAACCGAGAGAAATTCTCCTGATCTACTCCCAAGAGAGTCTGTGTCGTTCTTCTTGCCGTTCCCAATAGAGTGACAAGTTGTAATACATTGGAGGGAAGGGGGTCATATTTTTTTTCCCTTCCCAGGGAGGTTCCTGCCTTCCTTGGCAGACACCTGTCTTTCAAACCAAGACGCTTTCCCATGCTGCCAGATGGACCCCAAGGCCATGAATCCAGCAGAACACACCTGGACAAGGCTGGCAGGAGCCACGCTCACTCCTCCAGCCTCTCCGTGGTTCCTGCCCTTCCCAGTGCTGGTGGTGCTGGTGGGCTCTAGGTTGATCATGGCAGGACCTTGAGTTTCTCTGTTCCAGTGAACTTCTGTTCCCCACTCCTCTTTTGGCCAAAACCAAAGCATTTCCAAGCTGCTCTAGTGCTCCTAAGCCATGTGGGGTCACATCAATTCACCTGGATGAGCTGGGGACCAGTGGGAGAAGGGAACTGGGACCAGTAAGGAAAAGATGGGAAGAGCTGACATGACAGCGAAGAGTGAGGGAAAGCTGTGGGGGCTGAGGGCACATCTGGGGATGCTTTTCTCCAGAGACAAGGGATGTTTTGGAAGATGCTGGGTGGATTGGAATGCACGGCTTGAATCCATGGACTCAGGGAACACCAACACAGCCAGAGCCAGCAGAGCTACCTGGGAGGTGAGAGAGTGGTGGGAATGAAAGGGACATCTCTGCTGGGAGCAACACCTGGGGCAGGAAGGAGGATGCAGCCTGGCTGTCGCTGCCTGGGAACCTTTGGGACACTGGAGCTTTTTCCTGATGAGGCCCCACAAATCCCACGGTGGGATCTTGGCTCCGATTGCACAGAATAACGTATGGATCCAATAGAGCACAACCCCTGCTTGTCAGAGCAGCCGCCGAGCTCCAGCAGATGCGAAGTTTCGAGGAAATTGTGGTTTCTCCATGTGTCTCTGAACGCTGGATCCAAACAGGGTCCTTCTCCTCCACCTCCTGCTCTCGCTGGGAGGTAGCAGGACAGCAGGATGCTTCTCTCCCTGCTTTCCTCCCTTAGAAGGGGTGCGGGAGGGGCTGTGATTCTCTGCACATGGCTTTCCTTGGGGAGCTGTGCTGATGGAAGAAGAAACCCTTGTGTATTTGGAGAGCAAAGCCAGCTCCAGCATCCCCACACAGGTAACTGCCCAGGCGTCATTGCTGGGCTCATTTTCAATTAAAAACTGATTTGCTACAGCCCTTTGCTGACCTTCAGCCTGGCAGGCTGCTGCTCTGCAGGGGAAATCAGCCCCGTTCCCCACCTCCCTCCCTCCCTCCCTGCTCTTCTTTCCTTCCCCCATGCCAGAGATAACTCCCTGTCTTGCTCTGTCATCATGTCTTTATCTTAACCCTACAGATTTTTCCCTTCCCCAGAGTGCTGGATGATTTCTTAATGCTTATTGACAGGGGTTTGTGAGCACGACACAGGACCTGGGAGTAAGAACCTGGGGGAGCTCCATGCTCCTGGTGGCAGGAGCGGCCGCGGACAGCCAACACCCTCAGCTCGCCTGACGGACCCACGGCTGTGCCCACACCCAGCGCCTGCAGCTGATGCTGTTGCATAAGCAGGATCCCAAGGGATTCTCCTTCCCCAGAGTCCTGAGACACTTCCCATCTCCAATTTGTGCCAGCACTGCTGCTGCATAACCAGGGTCCCACGAGATTCCCCTTTCCTGGGGCTCTTGAGGCATCTTCCCACTGCTCATGGAACATCCCTCCTCCCCGTGTGCCTTGGAGCTTCCAAGGCTGTGGCGTGGGCAGGAATTGCCGGGCAGGCTCTGGCTCAGCAGCTCCGGTGCCAAGCCTGGGGACCCGCAGGCAGGGCAGCTTTGGCCGGGCCCTCTGCCAGTGCTGGGACTGCAACGACAGCTTTGGATTTAGCAATCTGCAGACTTTGCCTTCTGGATGCCAGCTCCCAGTACCTCCTATGGATTTGCTTATGAGAGGGAAAATTATGGAGCTTTGGAGTGAGGGGAGGGAGGAGGGAATTACCTGTTGGGATGGGCACTTTGTGCTTGTGGATGGGGCTGGGAGGCAGCGTAGGTTGCAATCCCCTGGGGATGGAGACTGGATCTCTACCCTGGAGATTTGATTTATTTCCTGGAGATTTGATTTATTTCCTGCATGGAAGGCTCGGCTGAGTGTCTCTGCAGGCTCAGCTAGCAGCAGTGTCTGTAAGGAAAAGCCTCAAGTGAGAGATAACAGGGCAGCAGAAAGGCTCTTTGCGAGCCGGGGGATGGAACAGCCACACACGGCTTTGCCGAGGCTGAGCACGGCCACACTCAGCACACATGTGGCAGCAAGGCACAGCGGTGTCCCGGCCAGCCCGGCTGGGGCCCCCGGGGTGGGGGCCGGGCTGTCCCCGCTCTCCCTGTCCCTGGACCAGCAGAGGGCAACAGTGACCTTTGCAACCGCCTTGTCCCCAAAAAGTCACCCTCCCCGCACCTGGGAGGCTCGGCTGGGGCATCCCGGCTGCGGACACGGGGGGCACCGGGTGGTCCCGAGGTTCTTTCCTGGGAACACGGCCCGTTCTCTGCTGTGAGAAGTGGTGGCACCTGGAGGGGTGACCCCATCGATGGAGTGACAGTTCCCAGCCTGGAGCCCATCCTTGGGAAGGAATAGTCACTCCAAAGTGGGAATGATGGTCTCAGTGATGGCTCCGAGGTGGGTCGCATCACCCCATCCACCTCACCCCATCAAGGTGGGATTCGTCATCCCATTAATGAGCTCCAGTGTGGGTTATAAACCAGGAGAGCTGCTCTGTGCCCAAATTTTGTGCCTGAGCAAGGCCTGGAACTGCCTCCAAGGATGATGGGGTTACCAGCAGCACAGCTGCTGTGTTTCCTAGCCTGTGAATCCTCCCCGTGGACACAATTTCAGGTAACAACCACTTCTAACACTGCTGAAAAATGTTTGGATGCTGCCTTGAAGGCCGAGTAGCAACCCCGATGCTTTGAGAGGGAATGACTCATGGGAAATGTGCTGGGACAGCCTGTGGGATGTGGATCGGGAGGAACAGCCCCTGCAGGGGTGCTGGAGAAGGGCTGGGATGCGGGAGGTGGGCACAGCCAGAGCCGGCTCAGCTGTAGTTTGGAGGCTGCAGCAGGATGAGCGCTGAGGGACCTCAAAGCCAGACAAGATGTGAACCATCACCCCCAATCCTCAGCGGCCAGCCCTTCTGCAATTAGCCTCCTGAACCAGCCAGCGGGCTGAAGCCGCAATTTTCCTTCTGGAATAGCTGGCTCCCTCGACCTGCTCCAAGGTCACACCCAGAGCGGTCCTTAGAGCCGCATCGAGCTCCCATTAACAGCCCGGGCTGCCGGGAGGGGCAGCCTCAGCCCCGCCAGCCCGAGGGGTGCGCGGGGGGCTCTTCGATCTTCCCGCAGACGTGGGAGTCGATCCATTTGTTGAAATGAATGGGAAATGCTTGAAAGGCTAAACCTCAAATGAGGTATTGACTATCTGCCGAGCCTGCCAGCGCTACCTGCGGCCAGCTGAGCCCTGCTCCCATCGCTCCGGGGCTCCGCTGGACCCCCCCGGCTGTGCCAAAGGGCTGCTGGCATCCCGGCCCAGGGATGCTGCAGCAGGGATCGCCTTGGGATCAGGTTTTCCTGTGCCCACTCGCCGGGGAGCCAGAGCCTTCCGTGGGGCTGAGCTCCAAGGCGAGACAGTAGGGCTGAAATCCTGCCGTCACGCTTGGGTTAATATTAAACCATTAAATGTTCTCAGCTCTTAATAGAGGGGCTGGTTGGAGTCTTAACCCTGTGCTTGCTGGCAGCTGCTGAGTGTCTGCCTCTCCTCTGCCAGGGATGGCAGTCCTGGCCTTGCTTTGCACGTTCTCCCCACCGAGATGTTCACTCTAAAGGCATTTTATTTTATTTTATTTTATTTTATTTTATTTTATTTTATTTTATTTTATTTTATTTTATTTTATTTTATTTTATTTTATTTTATTTTATTTTATTTTATTCTATTCTATTCTATTCTATTCTATTCTATTTTATTTTATTTTATTCTATTCTATTCTATTCTATTCTATTCTATTTTATTTTATCTTATTCCCCCCCTTACCCTCTCCAGATATTCTCCTGCCTCCTTCCCCAGTCCCAAATCCAAGGCCACCCCACCAAATATGTTTTCAAAAGTCTATTCATTCAAAATCCCGTGGTACTCTGCAAAAATGGTGTTTGAACAAACTCGAAATCATACTTTAAAGAAAACACAGCTGTTTAATTACAGCCTGCATGCAAAGCAGCCTCCATCATGTGAGTGGAGGAGCTGGGTGCTGACTGTGTGTTTGGCCTCTGATCCCCTTTAATCTCTGCAGTCAAAGGATTCTGGTTTGATTTCCTTTTATTTCCCCACCCGCCTTGGAATCTGCAACCAATTTGTTGTTGTTGTTTTTTGGGA